GGGAAGGAAAGAAGGAAAGAAGAATGGATGGATGAGGGAAGGAAGGAAGGAAGGAAGGATGGGTGAGGGAAGGAATGAAACGTGAGGGAAGGAAGGGTGAGGGAAGGAAGGAAGGAAAAAAAGGAAGGAAGGGTGAAGGAAGGAAGGAAGGGTGAGGGAAGGAAGGGAAGGGGAAGGAAGGAAGGGTGAGGGAAGGAAGGAAGGGTGAGGGAAGGAAGAAAGGAAGGAAGGAATCAGCACTAAAGAGAGGGGAATGCAAACACAGAAACAGGGAGGCTCACCTCTGCTTAAAGGCCTTTTCGCCCATCTCTCTGGCGGCCTTTTTCACCTCTTCGGGTACCGCGTCTTTCTCGGCTTGAGAGATCTGGTACACCTGGTGACCGGCATCCAGCCGATAGGGACCCCCTTTGCCTCCCAAGCCTGCGGTGTCTCTCCCACCTGGAAAAGAATTCCCAACCACGCTGTTGACCAGGAGTGGACAGCCGTTTGCTTATTTCATTTGCCCAGCTTGCAAATTCTGAACGAAAGCTAGGTGGCAGCAAAGGGTGAACGTTTTCGGTCTCTCTGGGTTGCCACCTAGTGGCCATTTGGATTTTGCACAACCCAGGCCTGGGAGCCTTAAGGCTTTAAGTAGAGCAAGGAAATTACTGGAGACGTTGATAGACTCGATTGTACCAACAGAAGACAATATTTGTAGCTCAGGGTTGAATTGTGAGGACCTTGGTGTCCTCTGAGCTTGTGGTTTTCTTGCAGACGTTTCATGACCAAATTAGGTAATATCATCACTGAAGCACTGATGATGTTGCCTAGTTGTGCAAACTCCACTTCCTTCTAGCATTGATGATGTTACCTAGTTTGGTCATGAAACGTCTGCAAGAAAACCACCAAGCTCAGAGATCATCATCATCATCATCATCATCATCATCATCATCATCTTCTTCTTCTTCTTCTTCTTCTTCTTCTTCTTCTTCTTCTTCTTCTTCTTCTTCTTCTTCTTCTTCTTCTTCTTCTCCTTCTCCTTCTCCTTCTCCTCCTCCTCCTCCTCCTTCTTCTCCTTCTCCCTCCTCCTCCTCCTCTCTGCATACTCCCCTCCCTTCTATCACCCAATGATGTTACCTAGTTGGGTCACTAAGCTCAGAGATCATCAAGCATCCCACAGTAGTAGTAGTAGTAGAGTACTTCTTCTTCTTCTTCTTCTTCTTCTTCTTCTTCTTCTTCTTCTTCTTCTTCTTCTTCTTCTTCTTCTTCTTCTTCTTCTTCTTCTTCTTCTTCTTCTTCTTCTTCTTCTCCTCCTCCTCCTCCTCCTCCTCCTTCTTCCTTCTTCTCTCTGCATACTTCCCTCCCTTCTATCACCCGATGATGTTACCTAGTTAGGTCATGAAATGTCTGCAAGAAAACCACCAAGCTCAGGAGCCTCCCGATTCAACACTGAGCTACAAATCTTGTCTTCATGTCCAAACTAGGTAACATCATCAGAGAAACAGGCCCTCCTAGCACGGATGATGTTACCTAGACTGGTCATGAAACATCTGCAAGGAACCCACCAAGTTCAGAGGGCACCAAGGACCCCAAACCCAACTGTCCTTTATGCCACAGAATCAGGTTGAAGCTACACGCACAGGAATGAAAAAATGATCTTGTACCTGTCCCACCAGCCCAAGTGTTTCCTCCAACATGGGGGGCGTTGTCTGCGTCTATCTTCCCATGTTTAGGGGACCTGACGTCCAAGCCACTGTCTCTCTGGATGGTGATCTGTTTGAGGGAATGCAAGAATTAGTGGAGGATCCATCTGGCCACATTTAGGAGACAGACATGGGACAACCTTGACCGAGGAGTAGTAATTCCTTGGCCTAAAAGAACCATGGGCCAATGCATCAATGAACAGGTTCTACAGAAATGGTCCCCTCCCCTCTCTCTCTCTCAGCCCAAATCACCTCACAGGGTTGTTGTGAAAGAAGAAAAAGGCAGATTTTTTAAAATGTGGGCCAGTGTGCTCATTGTAAAAATGACAATAAAGATTCTCTTCTCTTCTCTTCTCTTCTCTCTTCCCTTCCATACTTTCTCTTGTCTTCTCTTCTCTTCCCTTCCATATTTTCTCTTCTCTTCTCTTCTATATTCCATATTTTCTCTTGTCTTGTCTTTTGTCTTTTCTTCCCATTTTACGACTTTTCTTCCAAGGCTGTTAAGGGAGTCCCTGCAATTGTTAAGGTGTCTCATTCCTGAAACATCTTCTCTGCGTGAGTCTCTGCCTCTCCACTCCGAAACCGCAATTTTAAGAACTATGGGTACTCCTCACTTAACGACCGGTGGCTTAGCCACTGTTCGAAGTTTCTACGGACCCCTGAAAAGGTATCTATGACCCAGTTCTGAAGTTCTAATGGCTACCCCAGACCCAGCTGTCAAGGGATAGCATTTTGGGGGGGGGGGCTTGGCAATCAGGCTGCCTTTGCAACCGTTTGCAGCGTTCCACTGTCCCCTTATTTTTTTTAGTGATTTAGTGATCACGTTATTCTTCGCTTCATTTTTCCGGCGTTTATTTTTATTTCCTGCCCAAAAAAAACAACAACAAAAAAACCCGGCCCTCGAATAAAATGGATCTGCTTAATCCCCGTGACGTATGCTCAACAATTGCTCCAAAAAAGGTAAAAAAATCAGGTTTGATCACACTGGCTGAGGAATTCTGGGAGTTGAAGTCCACAAGTCATCAAAGGGCCAAGTTGGAAGACCCCTGTCTTAAACCTAACAAACAAAATGGAGGCTGGCTGAGGAATTCTGGGAGTTGAAGTCCACAAGTCATCAAAGGGCCAAGTTGGAAGACCCCTGTCTTAAATCTAACAAACAAAATGGAGGCTGGCTGAGGAATTCTGGGAGTTGAAGTCCACCAGTCATAAAAGGGCCATGTTCGAAGACCCCCATCTTAAATCTAACAAACAAAATGGAGGCTGGCTAAGGAATTCTGGGAGCTGAAGTCCACCAGTCATCAAAGGGCCAAGTTGGAAGATCCCTGTCTTAAATCTAACAAACAAAATGGAGGCTGGCTGAGGAATTCTGGGAGTTGAAGTCCACAAGTCATAAAGGGGCCAAGTTGGAAGACCCCTGTCTTAAATCTAACAAACAAAATGGAGGCTGGCTGAGGAATTCTGGGAGCTGAAGTCCACGAGTCATAAAAGGGCCAAGTTGGAAGACCCCTGTCTTAAACCTAACAAACAAAATGGAGGCTGGCTGAGGAATTCTGGGAGTTGAAGTCCACAAGTCATAAAGGGGCCAAGTTGGAAGACCCCTGTCTTAAACCTAACAAACAAAATGGAGGCTGGCTGAGGAATTCTGGGAGTTGAAGTCCACAAGTCATAAAAGGGCCAGGTTTGAAGACACCTGTCTTAAATCTAACAAACAAAATGGAGGCTGGCTGAGGAATTCTGGGAGCTGAAGTCCATGAGTCATAAAAGGGCCAAGTTGGAAGACCCCTGCCCTAAAACAAGTACATTGCAGGTGCTTGACCTGGCCAGGTGATTCGTTCTCTTCCTCTCAACTCCGTGGAATTCGACATGTGTAAGTGGCTGTTAAACGGAAGCCAAAATTACAAATCAGAGCATAATTCTCTAATATTTGAGGTTGTGTTGAGGGGGGGGGGCGTCGCTTGTGACCTTAAAGCCTAAACTTTATCCCAACACGTTTTGGTGATGTAAAATTACAATAAACATGAAACCTGGCAAATCTTACTAGCGCAAGCACAAACCCCCAAGAACTGAAACCAAGAGCAATTCGCCCCTTGACTAACATGGCAAGGATTCAGGCTGAATTTCTGGATTCGATTACAGTCGTAAGGCGAGGACGACCCGTATCGCGGCTTCGAGGATATTCATCTTTGTGATCAGCAGAGGGCGCTAACGCCACTCGATAACCAAGAGAAAGAACGAGACAGACCAGCCGAGAAAGATGAAAAGGCCGGCAGAAATTTTGGGTTTTTCCCCCTTTTTCTCTCTCTCACGACCTAGGAAAGGCATTTGAGGACTCCCAAAGCAGGGGTGTGCGAGGCCCGACAAACACAAAACACCGCACAGGAGGCGAGTCTTTGCTTTCTGCATCCTAATCACCCCATCGGGTCTGAGTGATGTGGAATGATGATGTTTTCCGAGAAGCAATTATTTTGTTAGAAAATGCTTCTAAGTCTAACGTGCAGAAAGAGAGGGAGAGAGAGGGAGAGGGAGGGAAAGAGAGAGAAAGAGAGGGAGAGGGAGAGGGAGAGGGGGGGAAAGAGAGAGAGGGAGAGGGAGAAAAGGAAAAGGAGAGAGGGAGAGAAAGCGAGAGAAAGAGAGGGAGAGGGAGAGGGAGAGGGGGGGAAAGGAAAAGGAGAGAGGGAGAGAAGGACAGAGGGGGAGAGAGGAAGAGAGAGAGGGAGGGAAAGAGAGAGAGGGAGAGGGAGTTTTCCTTTCCCTCTAAGCGAGAGAAAGCGAGAGAAAGAGAGGGAGAGGGAGAGAGAGGGGGAAAAGGAAAGGGAGAGAAGGACAGAGGGGGAGAGAGGAAGAGAGAGAGGGAGAGAAAGAGAGAGGGAGAGGGAGAAAAGGAAAGGGAGAGAGGGAGAGAAAGCGAGAGAAAGAGAAGGAGAGGGAGATGGAGAGGGGGGAAAAGGAAAAGGAGAGAGGGAGAGAAGGACAGAGGGGGAGAGAGGAAGAGAGAGAGGGAGGGAAAGAGAGAGAGGGAGAGGGAGAAAAGGAAAGGGAGAGAGGGAGAGAAAGCGAGAGAAAGAGAGGGAGAGGGAGAGAGAGGGGGAAAAGGAAAGGGAGAGAAGGACAGAGGGGGAGAGCGGAAGAGAGAGAGGGAGAGGGAGGGAAAGAGAGAGGGAGAGGGAGAAAAGGAAAGGGAGAGAGGGGAAGAAAGCGAGAGAAAGAGAGGGAGAGGGAGAGGGAGAGAGAGGGGGAAAGGAAAGGGAGAGAGGGAGAGAAGGACAGAGGGGGAGAGAGGAAGAGAGGGAGAGGGAGGGAAAGAGTGAGGGAGAGAGGGAGAGGACAGAAGGAAAGAGAGAGGGAGAGGGAGGGAAAGCGAGAGAAAGAGAGGGAGAGGGAGAGAAGGAAAGGGAGAGAAGGAGAGAGAGAGAGAGAGAAATATTGAGAGAGAGAGAGAGAGTCTGTCAATTTTCAGATCTTGGTGGGATGGTGAGGGTTCACAATTCCAGAGGTAAAGTCAGAGCTGAAAAGATGTCCTGCACAAAACTCTAGTGTGAAAACAGAATAACAGAGTTGGAAGGGATCTTGGAGGTCCACTAGTCCAACCCCGTGCTCTCCTGTCCTCCTCTCCTTTCCTCTCCTCTCCTGTTTTCTCCTCTCTCCTCTCCTCTCCTCTCCTCTCCTTTCTTCTCCTTTCCTCACCTCTCTTCTCTTTTCCTCTCCTTTCCTTTCTTCTCCTTTCCTCTCTTCTCCTCTTTTCTCCTCTCCTTTCCTCTCTTCTCCTTTCCTTTCCTCTCCTCTCCCCTCCTCTCCTCTCCTCTCCTCTGTACTCTATTCCAGGAAATTATTTCCTACTCTGCTCTCGTTTCCAAGCAAAACATTAGGGAGTCTCTAATATTCAAAATCCTTCTTCTCACCTGCACGGGCCTGCCATCTTCTTGGCCAATCATGGTTCTCCATTCTTGGAGGGATTTCTCCAGGCTTGCTAGATTGGTTTCCCACAGTCTGACGTTGCCCCCCATGTCTACAGTCACCACTCCGTTTTTCCCCAGTGAAGCCAACAACGCGTCCGTGTCTGAAATCGTGGCTAGCCAGGATGTGTACGGAGACAGATTCGTGGATCTGAAAAACCAAAAGAAGCCGCTGTGTAAACTGTAGCACTTTCTGGGTTGTTGTTGTTGTTGTTGTTGTTTAAAAAAAACTATCGAAAACAACGTTTTTCTGTAGATCCCGCAAACCCCCATCGTTGATGTGAGCCGTTTTGCAGAACGAAATAAGAATTACCTGGGAATAGGTATATATTTCACTTTCTTGGTTGTAAGATCTGCAATTTCCAAGTATCCAGCGGTTTCGGGAGGCGTCACATCTGCAAGCAGAAAAGTTTGGGAGAGGTTTTATCATCCTAACTCAGTGGTTCTCAACCTTTTTAATGCCGCAACCCCAACCGGTCGTAAGTCGAGGACTAAACCAGTCGTAAGTCGAGGACTAAACCGGTCATAAGTCGAGGACTAAACCGGTCGTAAGTCGAGGACTAAACCGGTTGTAAGTTGAGGGCTTTCTCTGCCCGGGAGCACCGCGCATGCGTGGTTCCGCCCCCTGCGCCGGCCGAGGCGTAGCTGGCAAGCGGCAGAGACGGAGCAGGCCGACCACCAGCTGGCCCAGCCCAAGGGAGGTAAGGCACCCGCCGGAAAAGGGGGGAAAATGGCGGACAAAAAAATGGCAGACAAAAAAAATGGCGGACAGCCTTGCTTGGCGACCCCGGTGAAATGGTCGATCGACCCCAAATGGGGTCCCGACCCACAGGTTGAGAACCACTGTCCTAACTCATCATCCCAATAAATCACACCTCTGCCGCGTAATACATTTTATCAGGCGGGGTACTGGAAATTATAGAAAAAACTCACAAATTATTCCCGCAGCGAGTTATATAAGGGAAGGAAATAAACTTAATAAAGGCAGGCATTTTACTCAGTTGAATGCTGAAATATATAAAGAGATAGTCCTTGACTTACAACAGTTCATTTAATCACTGTCCAAAGATACGACGGCACTGAAAATCGTGACTTATGACCGATTTTCACACTTACGACCCTTGCAACATCCACCGGGTCACGTGACCAGAATTCAGAGGCTTGGCAACTGGCATGTACTTATGACGGTTGCAGAGGCCCGGGGTCACGTGATCCCATTTTGTGACCTTCTCACAAGGAGCGTCCATGGGGAAGCCAGATTCACTTAACCCTGTTACTAAATTAACAACTTACGTGTTTCACTTAAGGTTGTAAAACGGGACAAAATTTACTTAACTGTCTCGCTTATCAACCAGAAACTGTGGTTGTAAATCAAGGAAGACCTGTAACTCGAATTATTTCTGCGGTTAAGATATTTAAGGGAAGGAAAGGAGGCAGGTTGACAGCGGCAATATAAATATACACGAATAAAAGGTTAATCAAGCCTGAGATGTGTTTCCCTTCAACTACTCATCGCGAGGGCTGGCTGGAAAACGTATTTAAGGAGCATTTTTAACAGCTCTAGAAAAAAAAAAGGGGAACATCCAGAGAGAGACGCTGAGATAAATGAGTTCAAGGTTCTGTTTTCCCCCAGCATAAGTGTCATGGTTTCGACAGATGAAACTCTCCAAAGAACTTCCAGGCATTGTTTACCTTAAAGAATCTTTATTCGAGTAGCATAACATCGGCACTAACACAATTGAAGCCAAAAACTGAATTCCCCTCCCCTGAGCACACAGTATCCAAGCACAATTACCTCCTCTAGTTAACAGTCATAAATCACATTCCCCAATTAGTTTGAAATGCAGGCTTTCCCTCCAGTTCTCCACCCGCCAATTCTTATCATCTCTTGTTTCAATAACCTTGGTTCTCACGCTAGGCCCAGTATTGTTATGTCTACCTAAACTCTCATGCACATTCCTCCCCCCCGCATCATCTAAAAGTAAGATATAAGAAGAAAATGGTTGCATTTGTAACTGTTGTCAAAGCAAAAACATCTGATGTTGACAATAAGAGATTATAAAGAGCACAAACACTGTGTTTCGATGGCTTGAACATAGGACTTTTCCCTTCATGACCTCAGAGGCTTCCAATCCTTAATTCCTCTGAAATGGAAACTACAAATGACTCACCTTTTCAGCATTGGGGTTAATAGACCTGTGTTGTTTCTCTGGATCGTATATGTGTGTGTGTGGTGGGTTGTTAAGCCAGTAACACGGTTGTTAAGTGGCTCCCCCCATTGACTTTGCTTATCAGAAAGTAGCAAAAGGGGATCACGTGACCCTGGGGAGGCTGCAACCGTCATAAGTACAAGCCAGTTGCCAACTGTCTGAATTTTGATCACGTGACCGTGGAGGTACTGCAACGTTTGTGTGAAAAACGGTCCTAACTCTCTTTTTTCAGGGCCCTTGAAACTCCGAACAGTCACTAAACGAATGCTTGTAAGTGGAGGACTTCGTGTCTATGAGGTGGGGAAAGGCTGAGGAAGAAGTTAGATGAGACCTGAGGAATGTAGGACACAAGGAAAAGAAGACGTTGTGTTACCTTTCGGATAGAGCTCCTTCAGAGGCACGTCTCCCGGGGCCAAGATCCTCACCACCTGGTTCGCGGCAGCCAGGGTGACACAATTGCTGTGCTTTGCCGTGCCGCCTCGGCTCCCTCTCCCGTAATAAAGCGGGTCAGCAGGTGAGTGTGGTCGACTGCTCAGGGGGGAGCCTCTCTTGCAGCTGAAGACCTCGTTGGGGGACTGTGGTGCACAAGGCGCGCGTGGCGGTTAAGTGGCGTTGTGTCCCGTTAAAATCAAATGAAACAGAAAGAGGGAAAGAGAATGAGAAAGAGAAAGAAAAAGAGGAAGGGAGGGAGAGAGGAAGGAAGGAAGGGAAGGAGGCAGGGAAGGAAAGAAGGAAGGTGGGAGGGAGGGAGGGAAGGAAGGAAGGAAGGAAGGTGGGTGGGAGGGAAGGAGGGAAGAAAGGGAGGAAGGAAGGAAGGGAGGGAGGGAGGGGAGGAAGGAGGGAGGGAGNAGGAGGGAAGAAAGGGAGGAAGGAAAGGAGGAAAGGAAGGTGGGAGGGAGGGAGGAAAGGAAGTAAGGAAAGGAGGGAGGGAGGGAAGGAAGGAAGGAAGGTGGGTGGGAGGGAAGGAAGGAGGGAAGAAAGGGAGGAAGGAAGGAAGGGAGGGAGGGAGGCAGGGAAGGAAAGAAGGAAGGAAGGTGGGAGAGGGAGGGAAGAAAGGAAAAAGGGAGGAAGGCAAGGAAGGAGGGGAGGAAGGTGGGAGGGAGAGAAGAAAGGAAGGAGGCAGGGAAGGAAAGAAGGAAGGAAGATGGGAGGCAGGGAGGGAAGGAGGGAGGGAAGGAAGGAAGGAAAGGAGGAAAGGAAGGTGGGAGGGAGGAAGGGAAGGAAGGAAGGGGGCAGGGAAGGAAAGAAGGTGGGAGGGAGGGAAGGAGGAAAGCAGGGAAGGAAGGAAGGCAAGGAAGGAGGGAGGGGAGGAAGGAAACGAGGGAAGGAAGGGAAGGAAGGGAGGGAGGGAAGGAAGGAAGGAAGGAAGGAAGGAAGGAAGGGAGGGAAGGAAGGAAGGAAGGAAGGAAGGAAGGAAGGAAGGAAGGAAGGAAGGAAGGAAGGAAGGAAAGAAGGAAAGAAGGAAGGAAGGAAGGAAGGCAGAGGCAAGCCATTTTAAAACCGATGAAACCTTAATTTAATCCCTTCAGTTTACAAACGAATTTCTCCAGGATTTTTAATTGAAATATATTTCAGGATGCCGGACAACTTGCCCGGATTCCATCCTTTGTCTAAACGAGGCATCCCAGAGCAGGCACGAGGTCGACCTTCCCGACCCCCAGGGGAAAAGCACGTAATCAGGGCTGCAGAACTTTCAAAAAAAAAAAAAAACCCAAAGGAAGGAAAACCCAAAGGCCTACCATGAGATCCGGGAATCCAATCACCACCGTCGCGTAATCTTCCTGGCTGGAGAAGACTCGGTTGGGGGCGCTGATTTTCTGCTCAATGGCTCGGCTTAAGTTCTCGGAAGACAGCGGATCCCGAGAAACAGCCCGGGGCACGTAGCTTTCCAGGACTGGGAAGAAGAACACAACAAACAAACTAACACAAGAGATCATCTGGATCTATTCTAAATCGTCAATCGAAGCAATCGGCGGGCTGATGGCTTGCGTTACTTATAGTTCAGGAGTAATCAAAGGAATTATTATTACTATTACTATTACTATTACTATTACTATTATTATTATTATTATTATTATTATTATTATTATTATTATTATTATTATTATTATTATTATTATTAAAATTTATATACCGCCCTATCTCCCTTACGGGACTCAGGGCAGTGAACAGGCGATACTAAAAACCACGATAATAAATAAATAGTTTCTGTTCTATTCAATCTGAACATCTCTCGGAACAGATTTTTTTGGAAGAGATTACCTTCAGTTTTGTTTTTGTTGTCTTTAATGTTTTAAATTAGCCTCCCTGTCCCGAGAGCGTTGAAGCGGACATTCGTCGTTGTGCGTGCGACGTTCCGATGAACGAAACCGGGCACTCCACAATCGATAAGAAATTAAAATGAAACGGAATAGGCTTTCGATGAAACAGGGCGGTGGATTTACGGCAGGGGTCTTCAAACGTGGCCACTTTAAGACTTGTGGACTTCAACTCCCAGAATTCCTCAGCCAGCCCTGAGGGCTGGCTGAGGAATTCTGGGAGTTGAAGTCCACAAGTCTTAAAAGTGGCCACGTTTGAAGACCACTGATTTACAGTATCTCAACACCATTTGCTCGACTTCGGTTAGCGAGGTGTGCGACGACAGCGGTCCTCGGCTCACGGCCGCGACGGAGGCCCAAATTTTCGTTGCTAAATGAAGCATTCTGCTGCTAATGAGGTTTGCCCCGTTTTACGACCTCACTTGCCATGGTGGTTTAAGGGAATCGCTGTCATCGTTCAGTTAGAAACGCGGTCGTTAAGAGGACCTGGATTCCCCCACTGACTTAGCTGGTCAGGAGGTGTCCAAACGGGATCACGTGACCCACGGGGGACACTGCGACCGTCGTAAATACGAGTCAGTTGCCCAGCGACTGGATTTTGATCCCGCGACCAGGGGGGGGAATGCTACAAGGGTCGCAAGTGGGAAAAGTGGTCATAAGTCGCTTTTTTCGGGCTCTTGTACCTTTGCACTGTTGCTAAAAAAATGTAAGTCGAGAACAATTTGTTTTATTTTTCAAAGCATCTGCCGGCCTTTTAAATAAAAGCCACTTTTCAACGCCTATTTTGATCTTTTAGCTGACTTTGTTTCTCCTGGCAAATTAGCAGGAAAGATTTTAATTTTTTTCCACAAGCTTCTCCGCCAGCCACACTCGGAGGCGCCCACTTAATTCAGCTTCTCTGGAGATGAGAAGCTCGTCTCATTTGGGATTTTCAGGCAAGCCAGAAAGGTGCTATTTCCATTTGCTACACCCTCCTTTACTTTTTTTCACAACTTTATCTGACTCTTTTTATTTTTAATCCTGTACTGTAAAAACTGCCGCAAAGGGAACACTAGGTGTTGCCTACGTCACTGTTTCTCAACCTTGGCAAGGGGAAGATGTGTGGACTTCAACCCCCAGAATCCCCCAGCCAGCCCGTGGGGACTTCAACCCCCAGATAACCCTAATCAGCAAGCGTGGACTTCAACTCCTAGAATTCCCCAGCCAGCCTGTGTGGACTTCAGAACCCAGAATTCCTTAGCCAGCAAGTGTGGACTTCAACTCCCAGAATTCCCCAGCCAGACTGTGTGAACTTCAACCCCCCAAATTCCCCAGCCAGCATTTGTAGACTTCAACTCCCAGAATTCTCTAGCCAGCCTCTGTGGACCTCAACTGCCAGAATTCCCCAGCCAGCAAGCCAGGGAATTCTGGGAGTTGAAGTCCACACATCTTCAAGGGGCCCAGGTTGAAAAACACTGGCCTATGAAGCCATGTCTTCTTAAACTTTACAATCCCATAATTATGCAGACAACGGGAAAAAAAACCACCCCAAAGATGCCGACAATTCGGTTTTAAATTCCATACCCGTGGTTAGTCCAAATCCAGTTTCTCCTGGTTCCTCGGTCAGTGGGTGTAATTGGCAGATGCCGGTCTCTTCCACAGCCAGGTGTAGTGGCTTAGTCAACAGGTACTTCCTGGAAATCAGGAGGAATTTATCCGTGTTTTAAATGGCAGATTTAAATTGGCCAAATTTAATATCCTGTCTTTTTTCCCCCAGGGACTTTAAAGTGGCAGGCAGGATTCTTCCCCACTTCTGCTGGTTTCCCAATAGGGGAAGTCAAGTCCCCAATAGGAACTAGGCCAGGGGTAGGCCACCTTGGCTCTTTTATGACTCGTGGACTTCAACTCCCAGAATTCCTGAGCCAGCCACGCTGAGGGGAAAGGGAGAGGTTTCCAAGCTGAGCCATGCTGGCTCAGGAATTCTGGGAGTTGGAGTCCACGAGTCATAAAAGGGCCAAGGTTGCCTACCCCTGCCCTATATCAGAGGTCCTCAATCTTGGCAACTTTAAGGCTCATGGACCTCAACTCCCAGAATTCCTGAGCCAGCCACGCTGAGGGGAAAGGGAGAGGTTTCCAAGCTGAGCCATGCTGGCTCAGGAATTCTGGGAGTTGAAGTCCACAATAACTCTCCAGGGCACAATTCAACACGGTATTAAACGTTGAATTCAGTTACTTTTATTATTGGTGACCCTGTTTTCGTTGAAATTATTGTCACTCTTGTATTTCTGGGGTCCGTTGAAATCAGTCTAAGCGTAGAACACATTGTAGTAGCCCAGAGGTCTTCAAACTTGGCCCTTTTATGACTTGTGGACTTCAACTCCCAGAATTCCTCAGCCAGCGTGAGGGAACCATGACCCTTTTATGACTTGTGGACTTCAACTCCCAGAATTCCTCAAACAGCGTGAGGGAACTATGACCCTTTTATGACTTGTGGACTTCAGCTCCCAGAATTCCTCAGCCAGCCTCCATTTTGTTTGTTAGATTTAAGACAGGGGTCTTCAAACTTGGCCCTTTTATGACTTGTGGACTTCATCTCCCAGAATTCCTCAGCCAGCGTGAGGGAACTATGACCCTTTGATGACTTGTGGACTTCAACTCCCAGAATTCCTCAGCCAGGCACGTGTGCCTGGCTGAGGAATTCTGGGAGTTGAAGTCCACAAGTCATCAAAGGGCCAAGTTTGAAGACCCTTGTAGTAGCCCAATCAGGACATTAACTAAGCATGAATGATAATGAGCAGGGTCTTCTAATCCAGAAATCAGTGATTATTATTTGGGCACATATCCCTGCCAGCCATGGTTACCAGCTGCTCCTTGAGCAGAAGCTTCAAGTCCAGGAAGATACCCCCCTCCCCAAATCATGCACCAATTCTGCTCAGGGGAAGAGCTATATCTGCTATTTAACCTAACCGTGTTTCTCAACCCTGCCCACTTCTTAAAGAGGGGTGGACTTCAACTCCCAGAATTCCCCAGCCAGCAAAGCAAGCATGGCTGGTTGGGGAATTTTGAGAGCTGAAACCCAAAGCTCTCCAACAGGCCGAGACTGATTAGATAGATCAGGGGTAGTCAACCTTGGCTCTTTTATGACTCGTGGACTTCAACTCCCAGAATTCCTGAGCCAGCTGTGCTAGCTCAGGAATTCTGGGAGTTGAAGTCCACGAGTCATAAAAGAGCCAAGGTAGATGGTACCCCTGATAGATGATGTAAGATGATGCTATTAGAAAGGTTGTGCCTACTGGTTGGTTTTATTTTCCACCAGAAGCCACCGGTCTTCGGCCACTAAAAAGACAGACTTGAGACTGATGGGCAGGGAGATGGTGTGGGCATTGCCCTCCAGGACATCCATCACAGTAAGATAGCTCCTGAAAGATAAAAATGTTTAAAAAATCAGATTCAGGAGAACCCCAGGAGGCATCTGCAAGTATACAAAAAGAAGGAATCCATTCTTACCCTTCCTCTTTGTAAAACACCAGCCAATTCTTATGCGCGAATTCCTTGCACATTTTGTGACTTGTCTTCTTGGGAGGAGGGGGGCGGGTGATGATGATGATGATGGTGATGATGATGGTGATGAGGAGGATGATGATGAGGAGGAGGAGGAGGAGGAAAAGACAGAATAATCAATGACGGTTCTTTGGTCAAATTGTCCCATTCGCTAAAGCAGCGGTTCTCAACCTATGGGTCGGGACCCCATTTGGGGTCGATCGACTATTTCACGGGGGTCGCCAAGCAAGGCTGTCCGCCATTTTTTTTGTCCGCCATTTTTTTTGTCCGCCATTTTTTCGCCCTTTTCCGGCGGTTGCCTTACCTCCCTTGGGCTGGGCCAGCTGGTGGTCGGCCTGCTCTGTCTCTGCCGCTTGCCAGCTACGCCTCGGCCGGCGCAGGGGGCGGAACCACGCATGCGTGGCGCTCCCGGGCAGGGAAAGTCCTTGACTTACGACCAGTTGGGTAGTCCTCGACTTACAACCGGTTTAGTCCTTGACTTACGACCAGTTTAGTCCTCAACTTACGACCGGTTTGGTCCTCGACTTACGACCGGTTTAGTCCTCGACTTACGACCGGTTGGGGGTCGCGGCATTAAAAAGGTTGAGAACCACTGCGCTAAAGCTTTAAAACCTCTTTGTTACAAGATGGAGACTTGGCTTGTTCTAGGAAAAGATTCTTCAACACAGATTTAACACGGAGGAGAAAAACGTCACGGTCCGACCCCAGAAGTGCTAACAACCCATTTCTTATTCTCTCTGCTAAATAAAATACAGGCAGTCCTGGACTTAACGACAGTTCGCTTAGCGACGGTTCCAAGTTACGACGGCATCGGGGAAAAAGTGATTTATGACCATTTCCCACACTTACGACCGTTGCAGCATCCCGGTGGTCACGTGATCAAAATTCGGACGCTTATCAACGGACTCGTATTTACGACGGTTGCAGTCCTCTCTGACTCAGACCTGTAACCTGTCTTAAGAAATGTCACTACGTGAATGAATATTTAATATTGCATGTATTGAACAGCTGCGAGAATAATATTTCCCCCATTTTGGGAAAAATGAAAATTTACCACCTGACCAGATTATAATCCCGAAAATCTTAGAATGTGCAGAAATGGGTAGACTAACTTTAGAGATTAAAGAGAAAGAAGATTCAGTTTATTTTCAAAACATGGGAAAATTTTTATCCATGGTTAGCAATACGATAGAACGAGAAAGGACGGTGAAGTTTAACAGGATGAATGATATTTATTAATTAAGCTTTACTTTTATGATGATTATTATGAGTGATTATAACTGTTTAGTATTATAACTCCAATATCTCAGGGGCTGCCACAGAGAAGAGGGAGCCAAGCTATTCTCCAAAGCCCCTGAAGGCAGGACAAGAAGCAACGGATGGAAACTAATCAAGGAGAGAAGCAACCTAGAACTAAGGAGAAACTTCCTGACAATGAGAACAATTAACCAGTGGAACAACCTGCCTCCAGAAGCGGTGAATGCTCCAACACTGGAAGTTTTTAAGAAGAAACTGGACAGCCATTTGTCCGAAATGATATAGGGTTACCTGCCTGAGCAGAGGGTTGGACTTGATGACCTCCAAGGTCCCTTCCAACTTTATCATTATTATTATTATTATTATTATTATTATTATTATTATTATTATTAGCTGTACCCGGCCATGCGTTGCTGTGGCTCAGTCTGGTAAAAGCGTGTGTTGCTTTTACGTCCAACAGATGGTGCTGTTTTTCAAAAAAAGCATGTTTTTACCTATCACAGGTGTGACATCTATATAATATAGGTATATAAAAACACGCGCATATTCGAATGCAACGTTGTGTCAAAATTTCAAAGCAATCGGTGAAGAACTTTCGGAGATTTAAGATTTTGAACAAACGAACATTTACATTTTTATTTATATATAAGATGATGATGATGATTATTATTATTATTATTTACTGTCATTTAATATTTGTACCCGGACGATAGTCTGCTTGCTAAAGCGTTGAATTTTTTATTGGGGGTAACCCCACTATTGTACCTACCCCTAACCTTATCCCAACCCCATCCCCTAACCCCATCCAATATCCATACCGATCTTATCCCTTCCCTAGCCTTATAAAACTCAATAAAACATTTATAAAAAAAAAAGAAAAGAAATTCCACTACGTGTCTCCACAAATAACCCTTCTTAAGACAGCCTCACTCAGCAGGGTTAAAGTTGAACAAATAAGGGGCGAAGTGTGAAGCCGCAGGATTGTGTAAGGAGGAATGTTAAGCCTTAAAGAAGCTTAAGACACAACAGTGTCATATTAGGGGGAAAGGTACCGGAATTGCTCGTTAAACTCGTGTACTCAGATAAGACACTGAAAAAGGGAAATCCATACGGGATTTTAGGGATCCGGGGATTACCCCTTACGGGAAAAGAACTCGTCTTGAAGGCTTCTACGAAATCCAGATGCAGAACTGTGTTTAAAGACGGTAACTAAAATACACCAACAACTTATCCTTGCAACTTTAAGATGGATGGACTTTGCCTCCCATAATTCAGCCAGGAGTCCTAGTTGTTTAATGAAGGCTTTGTTCGCCCCACAGGCAACAATTAATCCCCGTAACAAGATGGATTGAAGTCGTTATTTTATTTCCACAGTGACATGTTCACAGATCGGATGGGCACCAAACCAGGATCTTTTAAGATCTATAAAAACTCAGAAGGTTCAAAAAGAGGGCCACGTTGCCTTTTTAAAAAAACAGAATTATATTAATTTATTTTATTTTGTTGCTGTGTTATTTTATTTTATTTTTATTTTCTTTTATTATTTTTTATTTTCTTTTATTATTTTTTCTTCTTTTCTTTTCTTCTTTTATATTTGCTTTTCTTTTCTTTTTTAACTTTATTGTATTTTTATTATTTTATTTTATTTTATTAATTTAATTTCATTTAATATTTATTGTATTTTTTATTTTTTTAATTTCATTTCATATTTATTGTATTTATTTTTTTAGTTTCATTTCATTTCATATTTCATTTATTTTATATTTTATTTTACTTTACTTTATTTTATTATTTTTATACTTTACTTTATTGTATTTCATTTTATGTTCATGCCGTCCATCCATCCATTTGTCTGCAGCCATTTGCAGCTGAAATGGTGTAGGGTTTCCTGCCTGAGCAGGGGGTTGGACTAGATGACCTCCAAGGTCCCTTCCAACTTTATTATTATTATTATTATTATTATTATTATTATTATTATTATTATTATTATTATTATTATTATTATTATTATTATTATTATTATTATAGTTGTTAAGTTAGCAACGCGGTCGTTAAGCGAATCCGGCTTTGCTTGTTGGAAGGTCACAAAAGGAGATGGCGTGACTCTCGGGACAATGCAACCGTCGTAAGTCCATGCCAGTTGCCAAGCCTCTGAATTCTGATCACGTGATCAAAAAGCGAACTTTTGATCTCTCGATCAAAAGTCCCTTTTTTTTCCCCCAGTGCCGTTGTAACTTTGAACGGTCACTAAACGAGGGGTTGTAAGTGGGGGGCTGAGACAGGTGACTGAGATGTCTTACCTCCTCCTGTTTTCCTCCCCACCAGGATGTTCCCTTATGCGACGCCTGGATATCCGGTAACAGGGTGAGTCGGCTCACGGCCCCCGTAGTTGTGTCCAGCAATAAAATAATGTGATTCTGTAAGAGAAAAGGGAAAAAAGAGAGTAACTCTGTACACTTTGGAAGACGTACAAACGTAGATGTCCTCGGTGATCCCTTTCGCTTAAGAGTCACACAACCCAGGTTGGAACCGAGGGTGAATTTTGACAGGTCGGAAAAAAACTAGATAAATCTTTTTTCCCCTCCGAGATTTATTCCCTTCCGCCAAATTTGGTCCTCGTCCCGAGTTCACTAGAGGGCATTTTCTTCTAGTGTGGAAAATCCCTATTTGTTTTCCTTGCAGCAAATCGCCCCCCCCCCCGCTCCCCACATTCCTAGGGGGGCCCATAAACCATCAATGGTGGGCAACGGGCCAGACGCGGAGGTGTTCCTGAAAGCCCGTAATTTCATTTCCGTTTTTCGCCATTTTTAAGGGGAAGATGTGTAAAGGATTAGACTCTGAGCCTACAAGGGGCGTGACACAGTTAAGAGAGGCAGTTTGGTCCAGTGGTTAAGGGAGTGGGATAGAAAACAAAGGACTGTGAATTCTAGCCCTGCCTTAGCCATGGGAGGAGGAGGAGAAGGAGAAGGGGGAGAAGGAGGAGGAGAGAAGAGGGGGAGGAGGAAGAGAAGAAGAGGAGGTGGAGGAGGAGGAGGAGAAGGAGAAGAGGGGGAGGAGGGGAGGAGGAAGAAGAGGAGGAGGAGGAGAAGGGGGAGATGATGAGGAGAAGAGGGGGAGGAGGGGAGGAGGAAGAAGAGGAGGAGGAGAAGGAGGAAAAGGGGAGAAGGAGGAG